GTGGAAAGCATATTTTATGGACAGTCTCATGAGCGTAGGGAACTAACACAAAAGACTGACTCTTCCGGTCCTCTTGAACTACGATTCATTTGCATACGTGTAATTTCTCATATCCATCTGCCATCATCGTCTTCAAAAAGAATCGAGAAACTCGACGAAGAAAAGGTCCGGAAATTGTATACAAATTCATTATTTTACAACGATTTTATTTTGCTATAACTGGAATAAATCAATTTACTTTTTTTCGTTCTGAATCAACAATTTTTAACTGAAACTCACTTTAAATTAAACTATTTATTTATATAAATTTAATATTAAATAATGTCATTTATATTTGTAATTTTATAAACAAAGAAAAACTTAATTTCAGAAAATATTTATTGAGATAAATCAATAGGTTTATATCATAGAAAGTGACCCGAAGGCTTTCTGGAAAGCTGAGTCTCTTCACTGCATGCAAAGGTTATTAAAATTGAAGAAATATTACGAGAGAATGAAAAAAAAAAAGGATCTTCGTATGCGAATTTCACATACGCATATGGGTCAATACAAACGTACACGAATCGTGCATACCATGCATGTCTCTAAAAACATGTAATTTACCTTTTACGCAGAAAAAGATTAAAATAATGAAGCATTTTTATATATAAAAAAAAATATAAAATAATCACTCGCAGAGAAATCGAAAATAAATATGAAAGAAACAAAATCTTTCTTAAATTATTATTATTGAAATAGTTAAATTTACATGAGAAATTGTTTAACATGAACTTAATAATGTTTAAATAATGTATTCGCGTGTAAATTTGTTAATCAGTCGGTTATAATTTGATTAAAAGATGATTTGAAGAAGTCGTCATGATTGACTAGATTATAATATAATTTGTTCTAAATCGAATCAATTATTTTGTGAAAAACAAATCACCATGACGACAAATGGAACTTAATTTATATCTAAAATTATTGGCATTTGTCAATCAGGTTTTGTTAAGTTAATTAACAGATGGTGCTGAGAAGTCGTTAATAACTTGTAAAACAATTAGTGCTATTTTGGGAAAAGCAAAATTATTAACATTTGTCAATCGGTATTTGATAATTTAATTAACAGATGGCGTTAAGAATTGAATTGAATTTGTTTTATATCAAATCAATTATTGGTATTTTTCGGAAAAGCAAAATTACCATGGCAACCAATTTATTAATAACAAAACGCGAATTATGTAACTGTATTATCGAAACCTCATTTTTTTTGTATCATGATGCGAATATATTCATCATAAGCACTACGCAATACAATCGCTTCATAAATTTGACATTTGACGAAATATTTCATGACTTTTCACGAGTATTTTTAGTTTGTAAGTTTTATACTTTTTTGTAAAACGTACAAAAAAAACGATATGCAAATGAAAGCTGCAACCTCCAGGTGATCCGTGCTCCGCCGAACCAGATATTATCCACCTGACAGAAAATCGAAGTGAATAAATTAATAAACCAAGATTTGTTTTTGATAATGCGATGGCTGCGTACGTCCGTGTGTGTGTGCATGCATGTATTGATATGTGTGCGTGTGTATGTGTGTTTGTGTATGTATTATAGAAAGCTGCAGTGACGCAACGGACGGCAAAGTCTCGGTCCTTGGATAGAAGATCGCGTGATAGAATGAGTTGTACCAGGCAGGCAGGCAACAACCAACAACCGATGGTTGCTCGCATGCAACCGAAAGAGAATTGCACGCTACTACTACCAAAAGCCCAAAGAAGTTAGAGACGGAGGAGTCCAGACCGAAATGATGGACAGGCGAAAAGGGGGATCACCTTTAACGATCCACGTCCAATTTAAATTCACTTCATATACTTTCAAAAATTCATTCCACCTAAAAACCCATTATTTACACGTAGGTAAATCGAGCATGCGAACGGTTCGGAAACGAATCGCTGAGAAACAAGAACAAAGCCAACAAATTCGAACAAATCATTTTATAACACCGAATTCCAAGCATAAACACATCTGATACAATTATATTATATAATTAGCTATAGTTTTAACTACAATTTGTATATTCAATATACGCATTAATAGTTATAATTATCGAGAAATGAAAATTTAAACTCAATGATTACATATTCATAATTTAATCATTTTTGAGCAAATGTTCTAAAAACACACTTCATCTCATTTTATTATCTATAATCTTAACTTTAATTTGTATTTTATTATTTCATAATGTGACAATATTTATTAAGATATATCTATTATAATATAAAATAAGTTCAATTTGTGAAAGCAAATTACAAGATTTCTGTACATTCTAGCTTTTGTTTCATAGTTTCATGCATGAAATCTACAAATTTTATAAGAATTAATTAATTTCTCATTATGACACTAATATATTATATTAAATACTAATACTAATTTTGCTAGTTTATTTTGACATTTTCAAATCGTAGTATAGTTCGCACTGATCGAGACTGCACTTTTCGAGGTATTATAAAGGGTGTCCCAAAATTAACGCTGACTTCTCAGCTTTTTTCAGTTTTTTTTGGAGTTGCCAACACTTTACTGCACAAATGGCGACAAATTCAAATCTTGCGTTAATTTTGGGACACTCTTTACTATTTCTAAGGAACTGATAATTAAACAGTAATAATAACACGAAAAAACTAAAACAGATAATTATATTATAAATGTTTTATCAAATGTAATTGACTTAATAAAGACTAATTAAATATTTGCACTACACTTCTAATATAATATTAGAAAAATATATCCCGTTCCAACGATTGATGTTGTTTCCTATGTCAAACACGTTTTTTTTATCTGTAATTATTGTACAATTATTATACAATTACACATAATTATTGACATAAAAAATGTTGTTATTATTATTAGTAAAACGAAATTTTTCATGATATTTACAAAAGCTTGACATATTTATTATTAGAAATAGCAGACATTTATGATATTTCGTCTTTCAGATTTTGTAACGAGTATCAACCGCAAAATTCACATACCACCTAGTGAATCACCACGATTCTCGCGATGCGAGTAAATTTGGAGTAATCCAGTGAGTAATTCGCATCGGATGTTATTGTTACTATCTGTTAAACTTAGTCATATCTTTGTTCTCTCTAAAACAAACATATTGATATATTGTTGCAATTGAAAAAAAATCAATTGAATTATATAAAAATACATTTTTTTTTAGTTCATTTCAATTCTTACATTGCATTCAGTATAATATTTATAATTATTATTATTATTCATTGAGAATTCAAAGATTCAACCTTGGGATATTATGCAAAATGCAAACGGAAGAAAAGCGAGAGAGTAAGAAACACCGTTACACGAGATTTACAAATGCACTTATAATCTCAGCGAGAAACGCAGTTTTTCAAACGTTTTCATTATTTTAAAAATACTACAGTTTTTAAGAAAAAAAATCAATTTCATTGTTATATACCGGTGTTTCTCAACCTTGTACTTATTATATAGCTATTATATTTTTACCAGTTCCTCGTTTTGACAGCTTTGACAGCACAAGTTGACAGCTGTTATTTCGTAACCCATACAAAAGTTAACAATTTTGTAACTTCACTCATAGTTTAAGAAATGTTATTAAATAGAACTTAAGACATTTCGTTATTGTTCAAATTGAATGTTATTTAAATCCTTTTAAATAATACATGGAATAGCGTATATTCTGATTAACTCAATAAAATTGATAAGACGACTTGTTTTTGCCAAGTACGCGCAAATATGTATTTAGTATATCTTGTTTTCTTTAGTACGGATTTAAAATTAGATCCAGAATGTGCCAAAACTTCGATCAATATTTTTGTCTTCACTGTTGTTTTATTAACCTTATTAATACATTAAACATTTTCTTGTTTACTAAACACATAATTAATTATATGAATTGCAATAAAATATTATTATTATTTTGTTAACAAGAAATTAATTTTCTTGCATTTATAATAAATAAAAGTAAATAAATAAACTTTACAAATTTAGCAAATAAATAATGAAAGATAGTTTTCTTTTAAATTCTTATTGGAATATCAACTAAATTCCATTAAAATCAATTTAATTGAATTTTGTCATCACTCGTTTTCAACTAATTTTGCTTAACTTTAGTGCGTTGCTACTTATTATTAACTTAATTTTTAATTCATATTCGAATACAATTTAATTAGCAAAAAGAAAAGACTTGGGTCACCTATTCGAAAACGTACGTTGTTTAACTTTAGTAAATTGTCAGATACAGTGGAATCTCGCATAACGAGCAAAATGAATTGTAAGAAAAATGACTCATTTAACGAGCTACGTTTCGTATATTATGTGTATTTTTTAATATGTTTCACATTACGAGTAAAAATCCGGAAATTTTGAAACGGATTAAACTCGTTAAGCGAGGTTCGACTGTACAGAAAAATTGACAAACGTCTTTCATTCAATTCAAATTTAAACAGTGATTAGATTTTAAATTCTTATTTGAATTCCAATTAATTTATTTTTGTACTTATAATTTCATTGAAGTTGTTTACGATTCGATTCTTACAGGAATATCGATTTATGTTAATGTTCGTTTGTAAATTGAAACGATTCTGTAAAAATATTTTATTTTTTTACTTAAATGTTAATATTTTTTCAAATTATAAAACATACTGTCGGGAATTTGATTGTTGGCATCTCTAAATTTTTGAGTTTTATAATTTATATTTATTGGAATTTTAGTATTTTTTTATTCGATGTCCTGTTTTAATACTGTTCTGTTTTATAACTGTTTGATTTATTTGCTATTCTGTTTTAATGGTAAGTAGTCTGTTTTGTTTTGTAGTGTTCTCTTGTATCACGTTCTGTTTTGTCCTGACTTAATATGTCATGTTCCACACTGGTGAGTTCAGTTTGACTATGGAACTGTATTTGAAATACGGCGGAAAGCAGTTTTTAACTTCCATCGGTTGGCGCCCGTGTCGTGATTTTGCCGTTCGTTGTTCGTAGTTGTTCGGGTGGTGACAGTGCGGTGCGAACGCTTGCGCGTCAAAGTATAGGAAAATGGCGGTTCGTATACTGAATAGACGTCAGTTTTGGTACGATTCCTAGTAAAATTTGTGTAGTTTTTCCGTTCGTTTTTTGTTAATTTCGTTGGTTTTCGGTGGTGTGCTCTGTGAGGGGTGCGTGCGGTGATTGTGAGCGGTGCGAGAGTCGAAAGATGGATCATAAAAAGAGTCCGATCCGTAGGACGAAACGACAAGCAAAAGTGCTGGAGGACAACTTCTGGGATTGCAGTGTGTGCACGTACAGGAACACGGCGGAAGCCTTCAAATGCCTGATGTGTGACGTGAGGAAGGGCACGTCGACACGGAAGCCCAGGATCAATCCTCAGCTGGTGGCGCAGCAGTTCCACCCAGCCACCTCCAACCAGAAGAAAGAGAAGAAGGACAAGAGGGCGCTGAAGAAGAGGCGACACCCGCCGCGCCTGAAGAACGTCGACAGAAGCACCGCCCAGACGCGTGAGGTCACAGTGAACAGCGTCACCGTCGTCATCACCGAATATAAGCCGAAGGTCAAGACGTCGACGGAGGCGAACAACACCAGCTCCGGATCCTCCGATCACGGCTCCCATTCGGAGTCGAGCATGGACGCACGATGAAGAAGACGACGACGACAACGTTCAAGGCAACCAACATCACCGCTGCTGCTGCTGCTGCCACCGCCGCCTCCGATTTCCCCGCCCTCCTTTACAAATGTCACTGACATAAACACTCGCGCAGGACAATGACACCGCCTGTGCTTCTCACGTGCGTCTGTTTACCTATCATGATCATCATCACGTCCAGTTTTACTGCCCAACAGTGTGATACCTCAGTACTTTATATAAATAAATCAAACTCAAGTTACCGCAGTTCATCCAACCAAAAACAAAAGGAAATATATATTGTGACACATAAATAAAAATATAAATATATATATATATAGATATACAAAAAAACATTTGAATGTCATAGATGTATAGAAGAAGAAGATCGCATTTCCCGACCGCAACGAGACGTAGTCTACAAGAAGACAACAACAACTGCCAAAAGACGTCCTTCGAAATGGAGAACCCTTTTTTTTCACTGCCGTTCGTCACAATTTCCTTCAGGAACGAAAGAAAACGGAAACACTTCGCATTGCAACGAACTGTTTCAGGGTAGTCTCAACAAGATTCGCAAATGAAAAATCAATCCCTGTTATTATATTTCTCTTGTTATCATCAATTTGTAAAATAAACAGATTTTTAAATAACCAATCGGTAAGTGCAATCCATAGGTGACCGATTGTCAAGGGATAATAACTACAACATTTCTTATTGGAATTATCAAAAAAAATGCAATGATTTTCACTGCAAATTTATGTATATTATTACAGTTTTGTAACTTGATGAATGGAAATGGATCGAATTTGCAGTTGCCGAGAATCAAAAAATACACGTGCAATTTTTACACATGGAGAATGTGCCAAAATTAAAAAAAAAAAGAAAAAACATAAAACTTTACTAACATCAACATTTATTTGCCTCAATTTACGTAAACATTGTAAATCTTAAACGTACTCACAATAAATTGCAATTGTCTTCCTGAATGGAACAAAAACAAAAAATAAATAGTAATCTTATTTAAAATATATAGAATTGAATTTATTTGAACCAATTTGTTTCATGGAAGAGATGAATTAATAATGATTTTATTACTTGAAAATCCAATAGGAATCTTTTTTTTAATTCATTTCAATGGAATCTAACAATTATGTTGAAAATCAAGTAACAGTTGAATTTAAATCGATTTCAACGATCTTAATTGATAATTGAATTTCTTTCAGTTCTTTATTCGTAACTATTGAAGATATTGTGAGGAAGAAATATTGTTGCAAAAAATGCATTTGTTCGTAATATTAAGATGCTTACTTTTCATTAGCAAAAGGTAAGCATCTTTGGGTTGTTGTAATAGTAGTAGTTTAAAGAATGAAAGATGTTGACGTTATTAATAATCTACACAAAACTTGACTGGTTCAGATGTAAACAATGAAGAAAATATTGTGATTTTGCAGAAGTCGTAGGTACATATTATATCATTGAAATTATGCTTTAATGCACGATCATTAATTCTGTTCTTTTTCAACGTAAACTTTCCCCACTTATTCCTTCTTCGTTTCTCCTCCTCCTCGTTACTACTATTCCAGTCGTTCATTCAGTAAAACTCGATACTTATTAATTTATCCCTCTGTGTGTGTAATTCGTTTGGCGTCGCAATTACTAGTTGTAATGCGATAATTAATGCCTTTTTCCCTCGTTCTCTCACGACACGAATGTTTACGAGGTCGACAATTGAATAACGAATTTAATAGCTGCGGAGCGTTCACTTTTTTATTTTGTTTTATTTTAAGGAAGCAATGATTAACAATTGCGGTGGGGCGGTGTTTTTTTTGTGTGTCTGAAATCGAAACGCCATCTATTGTTTATATTATTTTTTTGTAAATAATTGAGTGTAAATTTATACTGTTCATTTCTCCCTGTATATATTTAGAGTATATGTGGGCCACCCTATTTATATTTCTGATGCGAAGGAAAGAAAAGGAGAGTCGATGAAAGAGAAGAGAAAAAAGGAGAAATCTTTGTCTTTTGGGAACGTGACGGAATCCCGGTGCTCCGGCTCCATTTATCACTCCGAAATTCCTCTTCTTCCGACAGTCTCTTTTTTTCGTCGTCGCCTCTTTCTTATATTCGTTTTTTTTTTGTTTCTTCTTCAAAGAGTTCTTGTGGATAATTATCGAATCCTTATTTTTAGGCTCACCTATATTTAACAAAACAAATGTTTTAAACTACTCTGCGTATTTTATTGTAAAAATAAAAAGGATTTAGTAGGCGTTTCACTATAAGAAGACTGCGTCGAAACAAATTGAAAATGTAATCGCAAACTTCTTTTTTTTATAAATATATATTGTAAATCTCCGGAACAAACGTTTTTGCATTGCATTTATTAATTTTATTAAAAAAAAAAAAACACTATTACTTGTAATTATTATACATACTAGGACTAGATTACTACATTATTTGTATAGACAATATTGCTCATTGTTAATATATGTATATTTATGGTGCAAAAAGTATAATTATATTGAATGGTATGTAAATTATTTAATAAATCATTATTCTTTATTATCCTTTGTTCTTATTTTTTTTAATATTATACCTTCTTTCAGAGATCGGCAAAAATCAAGTATAAATAGACTTTGAGCTTAGTGGTAGCATGACAAAACCACATTTTTAATAATTTATATCGTAAAGACTGATTGCACTGAAACCACACTTTTAAATAAATGTTCATAAAAAATAATTACAACAACTTTATATTACAAAAACCACATTGTAACATTTTTTTTAATAATAAATTTATTAAATAATAACCTTTGTGAATTTCCAAATCCACAGGATTGACACATATATGATGTTGGTATTATTATTGATTTCTATGATGTATAAGAAAAGTTGGTACAACTTGACCATGAACAAGCTTGTCGATTCTTTGGAATTTTGATTTCATTTCAAATGTTCACATTTTAAATAGTTTATGTAGAATAAATACATAAATAATTTCACCATCTTGCGGATGTATTTAGATTCAAGTTTGACCCATATTTGATGTTGGTATTACTGGTTTTAATGATGGATGAGGAAAGTTGGTACAACTTGATCATGAAGGAGCTTCTCTTAATACACAGGGTGTTTCTAATAACTTGGACTAATAACATTTGTTGATGTACAAAATAAATATGTTGCTGTTAAGGACTCAAAGGGTTAAGAAATTTTTTAATTCAACGCCATCTCGCGATATTTGCATTGAAAAATTCCATTAATTAATTAATTGAGTAATTTAGAAGCTGGAAATTCGCATTTGTATAACACATAAAAATTCAGTAATTCCTCGTGTCCTCGCAGTTTTAAAGTCCTCGATTAGTCCGATTTCAAACAGTACCGATTATTGCGAGATTTCCATTCAAATATTCTTTATATATAAATATTTGTTGTCTAACTATGCTTGTTATTGTCATTAAATTTTATCGTTAATTTTTTGTAATTGATGTGATTATTAATCATTAACCATTTGATGGTGCTTATTTATCGTCAACTTGAACTTTCGATTAAATTCATAGCCGGCTCTTTATGTGATTGTTATTAGGCGATGATTGAGTTGCGATAATGAAGTGTGCGAGATTCGTTTCCCAACCTTTGACACCGAGAATCCAGTTATCGTCATATTTCATTGCATTACACTTAACTACCCTTCGTTCTCACTTATTCTAATAATCGCCCTTTGTACTACGATCTTTGAAGCAAGCAATAATCTGCACTGTCCAAAACCGCACTATGCGAGGTATTGTTCTAGTCGTATTTAAATTTTAAAAAATCTATTTAATCGAATAGAAAACGAAGATAAGATGTGAATTCCTAAACACAAAATGTAAGTAATGGCATTTGAGTATTCGAAGAATGCAAGATTACGCAAAACCATTTGTTTATCTGGAACTCGTTAATTAAGACAAAAAACATTAGATTTTTTTAATGAACTCAGGATGCGCCGAATAACTTGTGTAGAGAATGCGGCTTTCCTTTTTTTTCTTGTAATTAAACTAATTCGTTTTAATTTATTGTCAAATATAGGAACTTTGATTTCATTTCCACTAACAAAGTTAGAGAAATTTCCGAGTTTATCTAGAAGTTATATATTAATAATTTGGATTGCCATCTTACGGATGCAATTATATTTATGTTTGACACATATATGATGTTGGTATTATGAGTTTTTCTGATGAATGAGGAAAGTTGGTACAATTTGATCATGAATAAGCTTGTTAATTCTTTGAATCTATAATGTTTTCCCAATTATGTCCATGTTCTTTAGAAGATAGTATATTCAGAAGCAATATGTTAATAATGTGGATCGTCATCTCGTAGATGAAGTTAGATTCTAGCTTGACACAAATTTAATGTTGGTATTATGGGTTTTCATGATGAATGAGGAAAGTTGTTAAAACTTTATGACAAACAATTTTGCCGATTCTCTAAATCCACAGATTGACATAATTATGATGTTGGTATTATGGATTTTGATGATGGACGATGAAAGTTGGTACAATGTGATCAGAAAGAACCTTGCTAATTTTCCAAATCCACAGGATTGACACAAATATGATGTTGGTATTATTGATTTTTATGATGGATGAGAAAAGTTGGTACAACTTGAGCATGAACATGCTTGTCGATTCTTTAAACGCATTAGGTGCTCCCAATTATGTCCAATATTGGAATTGTGATTTCATTTCGCCTGAAAGTTCACATTTAAAATAGTTTACGTAGAAGAAATACATAAATAATTTCGCCATCTTGCGGATGTAATTAGATTCAAGTTTGACACATATTTGATGTTGGTATTACGGGTTTTCATGATGGATGATGAAAGTTGGTACAACTTGATCATGAAGGAGCTTCTCTAAATACACAGGGTGTTCCCAATAACTTGGAGCGAACTGCGAGAGGTTTTAAGACCAGTTGAAGGATTATGATGAACGTAGATATTTCCGAGCTCGATGAATCCTTTGGTCCGCTGTACCGTGGGGCGGCAACAGTGCAGTAATTTTGTTATATTGATGGCACTAGATTAATATTAATGATTTCCCTCAAAATGAAATTCTCGGCTGCTGCGAAAGGGGTTTTAATCGTCGGAAAACCGTCGGCATCTCTTAAAACCTGTATTAATATCGACAACTTGGGATAATTCGATTAAACGAAAAAGCGCGATTTAAATGAGATTTGTTTGCACAATCTTTCGTTTCGAACACAATGCAATAACAAATAGAAATCAAAGCAGGGATTCGCGAAATTGCATCTCCTTTATGAATAATTTCTTGACGTTTTCGAGGCCTTCGGGTTATAATTATAACTCGCGCGAAAACATCTTCACCGACGTTTCGCCAGTTTACATTTTTTTTTTCTCTCTGAAATTTCATCTTGCCGTCATTATTATTGTACAATCCGTACGGGATTTACGAGAGACGGACCTTGAATACTTTTTTTTATAATAAGCTGACATGTGTTTAATGCATCTGCAGCTTGATTTTGATGCAGTTCCTAAATACATGCATAATTAATTATTTAACAAAAAATACGTGCACTTTCTCAGACAAATTGACGAAAAGATATATAAAAATTGTTACAACAATTCTACAGAAAGCATAGAAAACATTAAACATGTAAACCAATTCAATAAATTGAAAATTTTGAATTGAAATTTATTATTTGGATTCTTACTTTTATTAAGATATTCAAGAATATGTTTGGACGCTTTTTCCCATCAAATATTTAAGTAAATCGTTAATTTCTCATAAATCCAAGATATTTAACATACATATAAAATATTTAACTTTTATTTGAATCAGTAGGTTTTTATATTTATGAATTTTTGGTTGTAAAAATATTAAAAAAGAAATGTAAAAGTATTTTTTTTGATGATTCAAATTTTTCTCATCAAATTTTAAGTAAATCGTTAATTTCTCATAAACCTAAGATATTTAACTATAATAAGTATTTAACTTTTATTTGATTGGATTCTCCTATAAATATATTAG